CTAATTGCTCTCACACCATGCTCAGTTGGGTCCGCGGACCTGCAGTTTCTCTCTGTCAGAGCTGTGACACTTTGGACTGTGAGCAACAGAAACTGAATTTTTGCTTTCTCAAAAAAGGAAGTTTGTAATTGGGTTTATCCTGGGGCGTCCTGTTGAAGCCGCACCGTGTCCCTGCCTGTAGGTGCAGACCTGGAGGGCTGGCAGTATTCAGGCTCCGGGGGGAGACAGTGAGTCACCCTAGTCTCTGTCCCTGCACCCAGCTGCCTGCCATCAACCCATCACGCCACCTCCTGGAGAGAGGCAGTTTCTCTGTGTCAGGCTCAGTTGGGTTTTTTAATATCAGAGGGAGACTTTTTTTTATGCATGACAACAAATCTTGACAGCTGCTTGGTTTTAATTGCTCTTCAACTTAGAGCATACGTTTCATTATCTTTTTCTTCGTTTTGGCACAACATAAATCTCATGGGTCCATGTGTACTTCCAGAAATCTTGTTTTAATTAAATTGCTCCCCTTTGCTGAGCCTGCGGTATGAGGAGCTTGTCCAGAGCAACCACCTTCACACCTGGAGGGAGGGTGGTTGGCAGACCTCTCAGGGAAGGTGACCCGGGGAGCTCTGGGGCCTTTGGGAGGGAGTGTGGGGCTGTCATGGATGAAGAATTCATGTGTTGAAGGGACTTCCCTGGAGGTCCAGTGGTTAAGACTCCAAGCTTCCACTGAAGGGGCATGGGTTCGACTCTTGGTTGGGGAACTAAGATCCGCCGCACAGCACAGCCAAAAAAAGAAAAGGAGAAAAAACTGTCTTCCATTAGAATAATTACTTGGGACTTCCCTGGTGGTCCAGTGGTTAAGAATCTGCCTTCCAATGCAGGCAACGCAGGTTCGCTGCCTGGTCGGAGAACTAAGGTCCCATGTGCCGAGGAGCAACTAAGCCTGAGTGCTGCAACTGAGACCTGATGCAGCCAAGTAAATAAATAAATATTTTAAAAATAATAATAATTATTATTAAAAAAAAAACTCACACGTTGAAGTCCTAGCTCCTAGTGGGGCTGTGTTTAGAGAGGGGGACCTCTAAGGAAGAAAAAAGTTAAATGAGGTCAGAAGGGTGGAGTCCTGATCCCGTAGGATTGTTTGAAGAGACACAGGGTTCATCTCCCTAGAGAGAGGGAGAGCTGCTCCCAAACCCAAAGAGGCCACGGGAGTCCCCAGCCAGAAGGCCCTCTGCCATTCCAGGGAGGACCCTCGCCAGACACCTCCCCTGCCGGCACCTTGATCCTCCCTTCCAGGGTCCAGAACTTCGAGAAATAAATGTCTTGTCGTCGAAGCCCCTGGGTGCATGTATGGCTTTTCGTTAGGGCAGCCCCAGCAACTGACAGGAACCTCAGGTCAACCTCAGATCAACAGGATGTGATGCAAGTTACACCTGGCTCACACCTGCGGGGCTTCAGGGAGCCCTGGTGAGAGTGGGGGAGAGGAGAGAGGGATCCAGGGTGGTCTCAGTTGGGGCAGGGAGAAAATTCAGGATTCAGGATAAACAGAGAGGGAGCCAAGAGACTTTCCTGATGATCTGGTGAGGTTTGCTTTGGCCTAAAAACTGGCGCGACCAGTTAAATAAATTAAGGTGCAGCCATAGGACAGAATAGCAAGTTACCTATTTATTGAAAAAGAAAGAAAAGAAAAAAAGAAAAAGAAAAGAATGAGGAGGCTGTCTATGTACTGATTAGGAAAGCTCTCCAAGAAATATTAAGTGAAACAGACAGAAATACATTTCATATGCTGCCATTTGGATTCAGGGGAGAGAGATTCCATATCCATATTAATAATGACAGTCACCTTGTCTGGTATTTCATGGAAATGGCTGCTGTATATTTTTATAAGCTGATTGTTTCTTCAAAAGAAAAAGTAATGGCATCTCACTTAATGCTCAGATAGCTCATGGCTTTCACAGGTACCTGCCCGTCAACTTTTCAACACAGTTTACAAAACATGATGACATTCTTAAAAGACATTTCAAGTTAGGGCTTCCCTGGTGGTTCAGTGATTAAGAATCTGCCTCGCTCTTTCCCTTTGGCACCCCTTTAAGATCCTAGTCTCACCATGGTTGCTGCCCCACAGTGTTACCCGTATTGTCAGAACAAACTGGACCCAAAGTCTGACTTCTGCCAAGGTGTCCCTGATGCTAAGATCTGCGTCTTTGGCCTGGAGCGGAAGAAAGCAAAAGCGGATGGGTTCCCACTGTGTGGCCACACGGTGTCAAAGGAGTGTGAGCAACTCTCCTCCAAAGCCCTGGAGGCGGCCCGAGTTTGTGTCAACAAGTCCATGGTGAAAAACAGGGGCAAAGATGGTTTTCACATCCGAGTGGGGCTTCACCCCTTCCATGTCATCCACATCAACAAGATGTGTCCATCCTCACCAAGCTGCAGAACAAGGAGCATTGACTGAGGCCCTGCGCAGGGCCAAGTTCAAGTTCCCTGGCCACCAGAAGTGGGAATTTGCCAAGTTTAATTTAGATAAATTTGAAAACATGGAAGCAGAGTAACAGTTCATGCCAGATGGCTGTGGGATCAAAGACATCCCTAATAGTGTTCCCTTGGACAAATGGTGGGCCCTGCACCCATGAGAGGCATGGCACTGTCTCTTCTTTACTCATGTCCACCAATAAATCCTACTTTCGTGTCAAAGCAAACAAACAAAAAAGAATCAGCCTTGCAATGCAGGGGACACTGGTTCGATCCCTGGTCCTGGAACATCCCACATGCCACGAAGCAACTAAGCCCAAGGGCCAGAACTACTGAGGCCACACACTGAGACTGCTGAAGCCTTTGCTCCTAGAGCCTGTGGTCTGCAGCAAGAGAAGCCCATGGCAAGGGCCCATGCACCACAGTGAAGTGTCTAGAGATCCCTGCCGCATCTGGAGAAAACCTGTGTGCAGCAGTGAAGACCCAGCACAGCCAGAAATAAAATAAAAAATATTTTTAAAAATACATTTCAAATTATTATCATAAATGCAATGCCAAATAAATAAAAATAAATATTAAAAAACATATCACTAAAAAATAACATAAAAATAAAAGCTTTATTGTCTTTGCTCTCATATTTAAAGCTGTAGTCCATCTGGAACTGATCTGATGTGGTATGAGATAGGGATCAAAAAACTTTTTGCCCATTCAATTGACCCAACACTGTGTATTGAAATATTTATTCATTGCACATCTTGTGGGATCTTAGTTCCGGACTAGGGATTGAACTCGAGCTGTCGGCAGTGAAACCATGGAGTCCTAACCACTGGACTGCTGGGAAATTCCCTACACAGTTTTCTTTTAAGTGGTTTTGATGTACCAGGTTCTGTTGTACAGAGGTGGGCAAAGCAAAGCCCTTGTTGTCACAGAGCTTATGGTCTAGGGTGACAGTAAATAAAAACACATATGAAGGATGGATGAATGCTGAGGTCAAAAATAAAGGAGAGAAAGGGGATGTACCATAATGTATTTGGCCAGTTTTCTGTTGTAGGTCCCTTGGGCTGTGTCTAAAATGTTTGCTGTCATAAATAGCATTAGTGTGAGCATCTTTAAAGCAAGCCTTTAAAAATACTTCTGATTATTTCCTTATAATAATGGATGGACAAGGTCTTATGCCCCAAGGAATATGATTTTCTTGGGCTTTGCTACATATTTCCAAGTTGCCCCACAGGAAGAACTTACCAGTTTACACTCCCCGGTACCCAGGGGTGGTGGGAGCTGAGCTGCCTGGGTTTCAGTGATGGAAGTGGGGCCTTTGGGGGACATTGAAAGTCTGTGAACGTAGACAGTCCCTTCCTCTTCCTGAAAGTGGGGTCCAGCTGGCTGCTTGCCTCTCAAAAGCCAATAAAGAGGTCAGATTGATGGAAGTGAAAATTTGCTTTATTTTGAATGCCAGCAACTCAGCAGGCGAGGGCGAGGCAGACACCTGTTCAAATGCTGACTTGCCCCCTGAGCTTTTATAGACAGAGGGAGGGAGCTACAGGCAGAAGCAGCACAGTCAGCTCTGACAATCATCTTGAAATTGGTCACCAGTGGTCTGACCAGCATCGTCTTGATTGTTTTAGGTATAGTTAATCTTCAGTTCCACAGTCTGTTTGTATCCATTTCTCTGAGGCCAGTTCTCAGAATTGTGGCAGATTGCATCCTGGCTATAGTCTAGTCATCCTGTAGTTAACTTTTTCCATGTGATGGGGGCTTTATCTATAAGACAGCTCATAGGATATAGCTCAGAATATAATCTATAGCCCTTGAGAAGAAACTAAAAGTCCTTGCCTATGTTTTATGACATTATTATTATTATTTGGTCTCCTTTGACTGTTTTCCTTTGTTTCTGCATTTTCTCACTTCTCTGATTAAACTTATTCTTTGGCTAATGTTCCACAGATAAAAGGCAGGCAGATGTCAGGGGGACAAGGACCATAGGGTCCTGTTCTGTTTCACTCCCACCTCTATGCCTTTGCCTTTGATATTTAATTTATTTACAGTCCCTTTCCTCCTTTCTCTCAAGCCCAGTCCTAAGCCAATTTTCACATCACTCTGACCTCTGCCATCATGGCACTCAATTATATATTCATAGTGTTTTATAATCTATTTGTTTCAAGTGATTTTATATCTTAGTTTCTAGAAGAGTATTTTTTCAAATACTTGGAAAAGTTTATACTTTTGGAGCCTGTAGCCAAGGGTAGCACACAGAATAAACATGTAATACAGTAGAGGTAGAAATGGTGCGGTCAAGTGCCAGCTCACCAGAGACAGACATCAGAGATAGTACTGCCTCCACTCAGATGGGCCAATCTGATGTCTTTTTAACTATGCATCTGGGAGAATGCTTCAGACCCCGGGCCCAATTACCATGTGAATTTAGGGAAGCACTGACCGCTGAAGCTAGCTGGTTGACCCTAAAGGGCTTTCAGCAAAATAATAATAGAAAGTGTGGCTGCCTGAAGTTGTACTGACAGCGACTTGTCTGTTTCTGGAGACAGTCACCAAGAGGGCCCGGGCCACCGGGAGGAGCCTGCTTGATGTCCCCTACGGAGAGGGCGAAGGAGAGAAATTGGACATCTACCTTCCCGAGGCAGTATCTGAAGGTAACTGGGGGCTGGTGGTTGCCCTTGGATCTCTTCTGGGAGCCCTGCCTCGGCCCACACGCCCTTTGTTTTGTCCTACAGCCATGCCTTTCCTGGTGTTTTTTCACGGAGGATACTGGCAGAGCGGAAGGTGAGTCAGGGAATGTGGATGAATGGAGAAAAGGGGAGAGTCATCTTTGCCTGGCCTCTTCCTTTCCTGGGACTGCTGCAACAACTTACTACAAACGTGGGGGCTTCCTACAACAAGAAATGTCTTCTCTCACAGTTCTGGAGGCCAGAAGTCTGAAATCAAGGTGTGGGCAGGCCTGCGTTCCCTCTGAAGGCTCCAGCTTCTGGGGGCTCCGTGCTTTTCTCACCTTGTGGCTGCATCACTTTAAACTCAGTTTTCATCTTCACGTGGTCTTTGTGTGTCTGCATCTCCCTCCTTCCTCTCATTTCTGTTACAACATCACCAGTTATTGGGTTTGGACTCATCCTAAATCCAGGATGATCCCATCTCAAGAGTCTGAATTATGTCTGCATAGTGTGTGTGCTCGGTCACTGCAGTCATATCTGATTCTTTGCGACCCTATGGACTGTAGCCCACCAGGCTCCTCTGTCCATGGGGTTCTCCAGGCAAGAATACTATAGGGGAATGCCATGCCCTTCCCCAGGGGATCTTCCTGACCAGGGATTGAACCCACATCTCCTGAGTCTCCTGCGTTGCAGGTGGAGTCTTTACCCACTGAACCACCTGGGAAGCCCATATCTGCATAGACCCTATTGCAAATAAGGTCACATTTACAGGTACCAGGGTTTAGGATTTGGACATGTCTTTTGAGGAAGGACACTGTTAAACCCACTATATTCAGTGAAAAGCATGTTCAGTCTACTCTCCAATCATGGAAAACCACAGTGACTAACCATCCCATTTTGCTCAGAACTGAGTGGTTTCCCAGGGCTTGGGGCCTTTAGCGGTAAAAAAAAAGAGGGAGTCCCAGGCAAACTGGGATTGGCCCCAGTGGGTACCCTAAGATAAGCAGAGAGGTATTTGGGACCTTCACGGACACTGTTGTTCCCTAGGATCATACTAAGGAGTTGCTCGTTATAGGATCTACTGCCCTTCAACCATAGCATTTTAACGCTCCATTTATTGCATTTTTACCCTTTGCCTTGTGAAGCTCCCTGCATGTCTGATCTCCTTCATTTCTCAAAAACAGCATCCTAAGAGAAAGAACATAATTATCTGTATTTTACAGAGGAAGAAGCTGGGCTTAGAGGTTAAGTACAGTCTCTAGGGCGCCACAGCTGGCATGTGTTGTGGTCAGGACAGAGCCTCACGTCTCCCCTTACCGCACTGGGTCAGAGAGGGGCAGGGCTCTGGGTGGACCAGACGCCGAAGCAGTCTAGTGGCCAAGTGGCCTCCAGTTGTTATGTCTTTGCCTCCTTCTGCAGTAAAGACACGTCAGCCTTCATGGTCAGCCCACTGACAGCACAGGGAGTGGCCGTGGTGATAGTGGCTTATGACATTGCTCCCAAAGGTAACGAGGGTGGTCTTGCAGGTAAAAGGGCCGTTGGGGTTTGGAGGGGAGAGAGCCCCTGACGGAGCCTGACACAGCTCCTGTCCTCCGCACAGGCACCCTGGACCAGATGGTCGACCAGGTGACCCAGAGCATCGTGTTTGTCCAGAAGCGGTATCCAGGCAACCAGTGGGTATCACTGCAAATTTTCCTTTTGTCAGACTGGGTGGGAGGACAGTGGATTCATCTCCTTGGATGCAGCCCAGCCATTCCCCCTGGCTTTGGAGCAGAAGGCAAATGGGGACTCCTCGATACTGGCCTGTTGTTTTGGTTACACTGAAGGCAAGCTCTGCTCTCCACTCTGACCCACTGAAGGGGAATTTACCTGTGTGGACACTCTGCTGGGGCCCAGCTCGCTGCCATGATGCTCCTGGCCAACTGGATCAAGCATGGAGTCACGCCCAACCTCAAAGGTTTCCACGGGGAATGAGTCTGACTGGGCAGGCTTCACCCTACCCTGATGGGCCTGAGGGTCTATACCAGTTGCTTGAAATCTCAACAGCCGTGAGCCGCTTGACCTGGGGGCTTTGGGCCGGGGAGCAGGGCCTGCTTTGCTGCTTCTCTGCCCTTTCCCCTGTCTTGCCCCTCTGGCCCTGGAGGCAGGTTGGCCCCATATTGCCCCATCCGGTGCTTACAAGAGGCCCAGCCTGGGTGGGGCGTTGGCCCCACCTGCCGCCTGGCTCAGTGACTGTTCTTTGCCTTCACAGGCTTCTTCCTGCTGAGCGGGGTTTACGACCTGGAGCCCATCATGCACACCTCTGAGAATGCCCCCCTCCTCCCGACCCTGTAAGTCACTTGTCCCCTCATCCCCCTCAGCTGGCCTGCAGCCAGTGAGGAGGGCCAGGGCTGCAGCAGGGGCTTTCCTCTGTCCTGACCACACCTCCCCCCACACCAGGGAGGATGCTCAGAGGAACAGCCCGCTGTGGCAACTGGAGACGGCCCCCACCCAGCCCGCGGATCCAGCCTGCCGCATCCTGGTGACTGTCGGCCAGCACGACAGCCCAGAATTCCGCCGACAGTCCAGGGAGTTTCATCAGGTGCCCCAGGCGCCCCTCTTGGCTCGAGGTTGAGGGTCATGCAAACTTACTATCTTTGTTTATTTCACCCAAACGGACCCTGTGATACCAGTCATTTCTTCAATAAATACTTAGTGAGCACCTGGTACATGCCAGGCAGGTGCAAGAGTCCTTCTCCACCTCCACCCGCCCTCCCCCAACGAACCTCATGTTTCCTTTCCCTCATTTCTCTTACACAGACGTTGTGCCGAGGAGGGTGGAAAGCCTCCTTTGCAGAGCTCCACGATGTGGACCACTTTGAAATCCTCTGGAATCTAACCCAGGAGGACTATGTGCTCACCCAGGTAGTGTGCATCCCTTCACTGTGGACAGAATGCGTCTTGGCATAGCGCCTACACGTGAGGCAAGGTGGGCAGACAGAGGGTACAAAGGGCCCCCTCGCTGGCTCCGTGGCATCCTGGCATCCAGGGCACCTGATGATAAGGACCGAGGGCCACTCTTGCTTCCTGAACGTCACCTCCCTCTGAAACAGCCCCAGGTGATCTGCAGAGGCTGGTCCTGGGCACACCAGTGGGATCTGCATGGGGACAGGCGGGTATGAGAAAGTATTAGCCTGCTTGTGTGTAAGCACAGATGCAACGCCAGCTCCATGGGGATAGGTTGGATGGATTTGACCACATGAATGTTTAGTACAAATTTAATGTGATGAATTCTTTTAAAAGTCTAAATAATAATTTTTATAATAATAAAAAAAGGTCTAAGGACAAAAAGGAACCCTTCTACACTGTTGATGGAATGTAAATTGGTGCAGCCACTGGAGAATCGCATGGAGGTTCCTTAAAAAACTAAAATTAGAATTACCATGTGATCCAGCAGTCCAACAATTCCACTCCTGATTTATGTCCGGGAGTGGAATTTTTGTTTTGTCCAGAAAAGACAAACTCTAATTCGAAAAGATACATGCACCCCAATGTTCATAGCAGCACTATTTACAATAGCCTAAGTGTCCACCCAGAAATGAGTGGATAAAGAAGATGTGTTTTATACAAACACACACAAACACTGGAATTTTATTCAGCCATAAAAAGAATGGTATAATGCCTTTTGTAGCAGTATAAATGGACCTAGAAATTATTATACTAAGTGATGTCAAAGACACATATCATATGATTTCACTTGTATGTGGAATCTTAAAAAACAATACAGGTGAACTTATTTACAAGATCAAAATAACTTACAAAAAAAAAAAATAACTTACAGACAAGAAAGCAAAGTTACAGTTACCAAAAGGGAAGGAGGAGGATAAATTAGGAATTTGGAATTAACAGACATGTAAAATAAACAGCAAGGACCTACTACTGTATAGTAGAGGGTACTATAGCAGAGGGAACTATATTCAGTATTTTGTAATAACCTATAATGGAAAAGAACTTTAATAAGAGTATATATATATAACTTAATCACTTTGCTGTATACCTGAAACATTGTAAATCACCTATACCTCAATTTAAAAAATTATTTACAAAAAATCAGAGGATAGATTGGGGAAAATATTTTCCATGAACACAGAAAATATACAGTTACATCTTTCTCTTTTCTTTTTCTCGGCAAGTGGGTACCTGATTAGCTTTACTTTTTTTTATAATATTTACTTTTTCCCTCCAGTTTTATTGAGTTAAAATTGACAAACAGACCTGTGTAAGATTAAGGTGTACAGCTTAATGATTTGACTTACAAACATCGTGAAATGAGTCACGATAGTTTTAGTGAACATCTTCCATCTCATAAATACAAAAGAAGAGAAAAAGAAAATTTTTCCTTTGTGATGAGAATTCTTAGGATTTATTCTGTTAACAACTTTCATATATAACATACAGCAGTGTTAATTAAATTTATCACATTGTACATCATATCCCTAGTACTTATTTATCTTATAATTTATCTTATAACTGAAAGTTTGTACCTTTCACCACCTTCCTCCAATTCCCCCTCCCCCCACCCCTGATTAGCTGCCACCACAATAGGACTTTTATAGCATTCAGGTTTTTGGTTTGGTTTGGTTTGGTTTGGCTGCTTTGGGATCTTAGTTCCCCGACCAGCGATTGAACCCTGGCCCTCCAAAGTGAAAGTCCAGAGTCATAACCGCTGGACTGCCAGAGAACTCCCTATAGCATTCAGTATTAATTCACATACTTAATATCCCTACCACACAAAGAGCACTTTCAAATCAGTTGCTGTTTAGTCGCCAGGTCATGTCCAACTCTTTTGCAACCCCTTAAACTGTAGCCCACCAGGCTTCTCTGTCCATGGGATTTCCCAGGCAAAAATACTGAAGTGGGTTGGCATTTCCTTCTCCAGGGGATCTTCCCTACCCAGGGATCAAACCCACGTCTCCTGCATTAGCAGGTGGATTCTTTACCACTGAGCCACCAGGGAAGTCCTTCAAATCAATAAAATAGTTCTTTTTTTTTCCCACTGAAATTTAGGTGATTTGCAATAGTATGTGTAACATAGTGATTTGATATTTTTATATAGCTTATACTCCATTGAAAGTTATAAAATATTGGCTATATTCCATGCACTGTACAATATAACCTTGTAGCTTATTTATTTTATATATAGTAGTTTGTACCTCTTATTAAGTGTAATAAGAGCAGGTCTTATTTTTCTTTAAGAACATAAATAAATAGAAAAAATGGACAAAGAATAAGTGATAATTAAAAAATAAATATAGATGGCCCGTAGACATGGTGGAAGATTAAAATGCACTATTGATCATAGGGCTTCCCTTGTGGCTCAGCTGGTAAAGAATCCGCCTGCAAAGCGGGACACTTCGGTTTGATCCCTGGGTTGGGAAGATCCCCCAGAGAAGGGAAAGGCTACCCACTCCGTATTCTGGTCTGGAGAATTCCATGGACTGTATAGTCCATGGGGTTGCAGAGAAGTCGGATACAACTGACCGACTTTCACTTGCACTTCACACTGACCATAGAAATGTAACTGAAGATGAGTCCCCCACCTCTCAATAGAAGTGTTCTAGTATAATATGTCCAGCGCTGATGAGGACGTGGTGAAGTGGGGGAGGTTTCCTTGGTCCTTCTGGTGAAAACACATGTCGACTTGATGTTCCTGGGGTACAGCTTAGCAAAATGGATGCAAGTCTACTGGCCCAGTAATTCTGATGCTTAGAATTTGTTTTCAGGATAATCAGAGAAACACTGAAAGATAGTCTCTACAACTTCATTAATGTTCAAAATTTGGAAACAACCTAAATATCTAATGAGGTTAAATTCTGATATAATCAGGTAATAGATTGAAGTTTGTGAAAATTACTTAGGATATGTTAAATTGATTCAAAAGTAAGAGCAAAAACACAAAAAATAACTAACCTAACGTCTCCCTAGTTTTATGATACATACACAGCCAGACCCTTAGAAGCATGTATATGCATCTGAAAAAACCATTTACCAGTGGTGTCGCAAGTGCTTTTAAAAAAAATCCATTTCCATGTTTTCTACCGTGAACATGTGTTACTTTTTTAAATGAATACTCCTTGTTTAATTAATTTATTTATTTGGCCATGCTATGTAGCATGTGGAATCTTAGTTCCCCAGCCAGGGATCGAACCCCATGCTCCCTGCATTGGAAGCATGGAGTCTGAACCGCTGGACCACCAGGGACGTCCCTTGTATTACTTTTTTAACTGAGGAAAAAAACAAACATTCATAAATGTGTATACATGCGTGCTCAATTGAGTCTGACCAGGGGATCTTCCCATCCCAGGGATCCAAAATGCATCGCCTGCATTGGCGAGCGGATTCTTTAACACTGAGTCACCTGGGCAGCCTTAGCCGTAAATGACATCTGCTTTTAAAAAACCTAATAAATATTTTAGATTTGGGAAGCCATATGGTCTCTTGACAAAACTACCCAACTCTTGCCATCGCTACTCAAAAGCTGCCTTGTGGGCTTCCCTACTAGGGAATCTGCCTGCCAATGCAGGAGATATAAGAGATCCAGGTTGGATCCCTGAGTTGGGAAGATCCCCTGGAAGAGAAAATGCCAACCCTCTCCAGTATTCTTGCCTGGAGAATCCCATGGATGGAGGAGCCTGGTGGGCTACAGTCCATGGGGTTGCAAAGAGTCAGACACAACTAAAGTGACTTAGCACACACATGCTCTAATAAAACTATTTTATGGATGCAGAAATTTGAATGTTATGAAATTTTTACATGTCACAAAAAATATCCTTTGTTTGATTCTTTTCCCCAACTGTTTAAAAATATCAAGCCATTCTTATCTCATGGCTCATAGAGAAATAGGCAGCCAGCTGGAGGGAAGTATATGTTTGGTTCATGGAAACATTTCAAATGAGAGGTGGAAAGGAGCTCATTTAAGTTACATTTCTGTGACCACAAAGGCAGCCTGTTTCTTTAATCAAATTCCTTCCCAAGAGATCCTCCCAAGAGCCTCTCCAACTCCGGAGCTATTGTATTTTTTCCTTCCTGCTGCAGATTATTTTGAAAACAATCTTCCAGCAGTCCTGATGACACCTGAACCCTGCCACTGCCGGCATGTATCCCGACTGGGAAGCTTCTCCGAGAGCCCCACTGCTTCCCTCTCCTGCTGGCCTCAGCTCTACCCAGCAGCGCCTGTTTGTTCACTCGCCCCCGGCCAGAATCCATTCTTCTCGCTGCTCTGAGCCTGAGTACAAAGCTCCATGGCCCGCCCCCCGCCTGGATCGAGTGGGCTCCAGGGAAGGACTGGCCCAGGTCCATGCCGGGTGTGTTGCCCAGAGCTGCCCCTCTGGCTGAGAAGGTGAAGCAAAAATGACAACTCGTAACCAACACTAAGAGAAAGAGCTCCCTAAACCAGTCTTTGTTCCTTTTTTTGTTTTTTATTTTTTTGCCAAACCACACGGCATGTGGGATCTCAGTCCCCAGACTAGGGGTTGAACCACAACACCCCCTGCACTGGGAGTGTGAAATCTTAACCACTGGACTGCCCAGTGGTTAAGGGAAGTCCCTGTCCCTTTTTTCTTTTTTTTGCTCCACTTTTTCATGTCTGCTCGGTCCTGGGCTCCACCTGACGTCTGGCTTCATCCCAGAAAACCCTGGGATGTTATCCTTGGGACTAACACTTCGACCGGATTAGCCCTGGTAGCTCGGTGGTAAAGAATCTGCCTGCCAATGCAGGAGACATGGGTTTGATCCCTGATCCAGGAAGATCCCACATGCAGTGGAAAAGCTAAGCCCGTGTGCCACAGCTATTGAGCCTGTGCTCTGGAGCCCGGGAGCCAAGCTACTGAGCTCACATGCTACAACTGCTGAAGCCTGCGCGCCATAGAGCCTGTGTGCCACAAGAGCGGCCACTGCGCTGAGAGGCCCTCACTTCCCATCACTGGAGAAGAACCCGCACTGCCGTGAAGACCCAGCAGAGCCAAAAATAAATAAGTAAAATAACCCAAACAAGCTGCGAGGATTTGTTGTACAGCACAGGGGAAATAGCTGATATAACAACTATATATGGAGTATAATGTTTAAAAATTGTAAATCAGTATGTTTGTATACATTGAAAGTTAATTTATGTAATAAATTAATATATAATATATATAGTAATCATCAGCCATGCCTCACTAAAATCTCAATAAATGGTTCAGATTAGAAAATATATACATATGTGTGTACATGAGTGTGTTGTGTGTGTGTGTGTGTGTGAGTGATAGAAAGGAAGAGAGAATGATAATATGTATCAGCAAAATGTAAACAATATCTGAGTAAAGGGTACATGATTATTCCTTGTACTATTATTGCAACTTTAAAATGATAAAAATAAAAGTCACCAAAAAGTGGAATTTCCCTGATGGTCCAGTGGCTAAGACTCCACACTCCCAGTGCAGGGGGCCCAGGTCTGATCCCTGGTCAGGGAACTAAAGCCTACATGCCACAGCTAAGACCTGGTGCAACCAAATACATAAGTAAAATAAATAATTTTTAAAATTTAGATGTTAAAAAATGGACTCCAGACGTAGGAGGTTGGTGACAATAATGTCAAAGGCGCAGAATGGTAGAAGCTGGTTTTGATCAAATTTGATACAGCCAAAAGCTGATCCATGAATTTGAACTTTTGTTACAAAATCCTACAGAAATTGTTAATGGATGAAGTTTCAGTTGGGGAAGATGAAAGAAAGTGTTCTGGAGATGGATGGTGGCGACGGTTGCATAGCAAAGTGAATGTACTTAATGCCACTGAGCTGAACACTTAAAAATGGTTGAAATGGTGGTGATTGTTTTGTAATGAGTTAGAACATTGAATCAATATGTTGTGCAACTGGAACAAACATACAGTTGTAGGGCAGTTATACTTCAATTTTAAAAAATGGCTAAAACTAAATTTTATATATAGTTTACCATATATAATTGTGTGTATATATATAATAGAATGATAGAAGGGAAAAAATGCAGATATTCTAAATTCTTCCACTTAATTATACCTCTTTCAGTTGGCATAGAAATGAAAAGTAACCAAAACCCAAAATGTTGAGATTTCTCTGTATATACAATGTTATCACATATAGCAACTTTGCTATGTACATTTTATTCATGTTATATATGTTACTCTTATTGTGATAAAAATACAAGTAATAATTTTTTAAAAAAACCTTATGGAAAAGACCTAAGCAGCTGAAGTTTTCAGTAAAATGAAATTTTAAATGGAAAATGAGTTGGAACATGTTGGTGCTAAATAGAAAATGAATCACAGAAATACATTGACTTGATGATGTTTGTCCAGAAGATGTATATTTTTATTTATTTTTAAAATTGTATACATTTTTTGGCTACACCACATAGTTTATGGGATTTTAGTTTCTCAAACAGATTGAACCTGTGCTCTTGACAGTGAGAGTGTTAAGTTTTAACCACTGAACTGCCAGGGAATTCTCTGTAAGATATATATTTTTAAACAGATGTCATCAATATTGGTAGAACTCTGATTAAAATAGGCAGGATGAAAAAGGCAGGGTCAGCTCAGACAAGATTGCAAAGCAAACCGTGTCCCAGTCTGATGATTGAGAGGGCAAGTTGGCTGTAATCAAAAATGTTGAAGGCACATACACACTGCCAGAAATCTCGCTTGCTGTTATTTATGCTCCAGGCATGGTTGGATGTGGTGTGTCTGTCGGCTGTAGTATCAATACAATTCATAATAGCAGGAAAAAAAAAAATGGAGCCACCCAATGGGAAACTGGTTGATTGGAATTAGGGTAGATCAGTAGACCATCTAATATACACCACACAGATTTTATAAAATGTTAGATAGTTGCAATCTCTGGGTGCAGATAAAGCTGAGATGTGCTGTTAACCTGAAAAGACAGGACACCAACAGATACATACACACACACACACACACCACCCCTAGAAGTATATATAGAAACTGCTGAAAAGTTTCCTTCTGCTAGAGGCCTTGGGGGAGAGGAAGACTTCCTTCCTATTGCATGATTTTTGCTTTTACAGCACTGATGTGTCACTCTTACAACAGAGGAAAAACATGTTCACAAAAGGTTTGGTGAGACTAGATGGCCATAAGGCAATATCTAGCATTGATGATTTACGATCTCAAAACTGTTGGATCATCACAGTGTCCACCAGGGTTGGCAATGAATAGTTGTTTTATAGTTTTAAATAGTTATTTTAAAATCCAGAGAGTTTATGTAGAAAACTTGCCTCTATGATAAATAGATGTTTGGTCTTTGTGCCTGATTCTTGACACACAGCTCCTAAAAAACCTTTGAAATCTCCCTAGTGATAGGAGAGTCTCTTGTAATGAGCAGTTCTTGGCAGGCCCCTAGATACTAGCCAGAAGGACCAAACCTTCATTAGACACTGGGAGGTTTCAGCCCCACCTTCCCAATCTTCAGGAAGTGGAGAGGAGCTGGTGACTCAATTAATCACCAAAGGCAAATGATTCAATCAACCAAGTTTGTGAAACCTCCATAAAAACCTCTCAAAGAGGATGTTCCCGAGAGTTGGAAGGCTGGGGCCTCTGCCTGAGGCTGCGTACCAGCTACGCAGACCTTCTCTGAACCCAATCTGGTTGAGCCTACAGGCAGATGCTTGCTCCCTGGGCAATCATTTCTATTATCCAAGTGTACTGTCCTGGGCTGTTCACCTCCTTGAATCACATTCCTATCCCCTCCCACCTCTTTGAGAGGACACCCAGGTCTCCTGGAGGGAGGGCAGTGGGCATTATTTCTTTCTACACATGGCTTCACCTCTGTTTACCCCTATCTGCATCTCTGGGGCGGGGACTTAGAACAGATATCTAACTCCTGAGGAATTCTGGTGGAAAGGGAAGAACAAAGCGACAGGGATCAATTTCTGGATCTCCAAGAAGCTTCAGTGAAAAGACTCGATAAAAGACTTGACAAAAGAGTGCACAGCTCACTCCAGCAAGGATGAAGGTTAAGCTGTAGACTTCATCTATATGACACCTTTTCCCAGAGGATGCATGCCTTCTAGATGGACGGGCCTCAGCACATATTCCAATCTGGCCAGCACAACGTCTGGGGAAGCTAGCACTAATGGTTTCTGGAATGGGGCGCCCACAAAACCAATAGAGTTTGCAGGCTGAAAGGGCTTAATCCATTCGCGCTCGCAGGGGCAACTCCTTGAAACTATCACGGAGGATTCAGCACATCCCCAGCTTCTCTTCCCACCACTCTTAGCAAGTAGTTGAGATGTAAGTAAGCCACGGGGAGGGGTTCGCTCGGTGGCGGCTGAGCATCTGCAGAGCCACGCGGCGAGAGGACTACGACTCCCAGCATGCCCCGAGACACAAAGCTTCCCATTTCCCAGAAGGCAGCGGGAGGCGCGTTCCCGTCATGCCTCGCGGAGGCCGTAAACCGCCGGATTTGAATCGCAGCACCGCTCGGCGGCGGCGGGATGGGTGCCCAGTTGTTGCCCCCGGCCTGGCAGCTCTACCTCAAGGACCACCGCGTCTCCACGTTTAAGAACTGGCCCTTCTTAGAGGGCTGCGCTTGCACCCCGGAGCGGGTAAGACCTCCCGGAGTCCCCAGGTCCTCCTCGCCCTAAGAGTCGCGCCCCCGTCCTGAGGCGACCGGTACCGCAGACTCCAACCCTTCCGTGGACTTCTGGGCCCGGGGCGATGTTTCCGTCGGACTCCAATCCTTCTGAGGGCTTCTAGGCCCTGGGTGACGTCTCCCTCGGGCTCCGGTCTTTCTGTGGACTTCCGGGCCCGGGGCGACCTCTCCCTTGGGCCCCAAGCCTACTGTGGGCTTCCAGGCCCGGGGCAACCTCTCCCGCGGGCTCCGGCCCCTCTATGGGCTCCCTCCGTGCTGGGGCCTGAGCTGAGCTCTCCCTTGCAGATGGCCGCGGCAGGCTTCATCCACTGCCCCACTGAGAACGAGCCCGACTTGGCTCAGTGTTTCTTCTGCTTCAAGGAGTTGGAAGGCTGGGAACCAGATGACGACCCTATGTAAGTCTCGCAGGCCGGCATCACTGGGTTTCCTGGGTGCCCCAGTTCCATCGAGACCTTTTGTTTTGTGTTGGGCTTCTCCAAAAAAAACCCCTGAATTTTGAAGGATTAGTGAAAGAGTTTCAGCTTTCCAACCTCCTTTGTGCCCTAAACAGCTGTTGTAATGGGTGATTCTGCTGCTGGCACCTTGGAGATGCTTTCAACCTAATCCAACCCGATTTGGCGGAATATCCTTCTGGATAGATGTTAAAGAAAGGCATTTTCCTGTGGGTTCTTGATACCTTTTAAGTTAGAATACTGGAGCAGATCCTGCTGTGACCTAGAGCTGTCCAGGTGCCTTTCCCATTTTAGAGTTTTTAAATCTGAAACTTTATTATCTGGACCATCATTCATACCGCAGAAAAACCACACCTTAAAGCAGTACACTCAGTGTTGCTTTGGATTTTGTTCTTTGCGTCTAGTTTGTGTGTGTGTGTGTGTGTCTGCGTGCATGCATATATTCATACAGACAGCAGCTGTCTTCCTGTAATGTAATACCCCATTTTTCCCCTCCCATTTTTTTTTCCCGTCAGAATCAGCAGCTTCCACAACTTGAATTTTTTTGCCTTAGAGAATCTCTGGAGTTGTTTCTCTTCTTGGCAGGAAGAGTATTACTGTTTTTCTAACATGTTTGCTCTTGTGACCCAGTATTGACTGGGATGGCATGGTGATCATACCAGGGATCAGTGGA